GCTGTTGAGAAAAAAAGTTGAAAAAAGTCAGTTCTTAAGTCATTTCAAAGCCTCTCTGAATCCCTAATTATTTTGCAGCATGCCAGGTTTTCCTCATTTCTCACAAAGACATTAAAAATAAATTAAATATAGGATCTTGCCAATAAGATCAAATACTTTGGTGTTCACAAGTCATTACAAACACTCCCACACTTTCAGCGCCAGCCAATTATTGTTGCTTCCATATCCATTAGGCCAGCACACCATCACCTATGTTCTAGTGCGAAAGGGTTTGTCGACCTCCCTGGCAAGTTACAGGGTTTCCTGCTCTGGCACTTCATAAAAACAAAAATTTCTGATTTTTTCCTGACAAATCTTTATTCAGTGCTATAATTGAATAATCCTTTGGGTTGCATTTTGAACTACATTTTGTTATGGTAGGCTTGAAGTGAGATAAAAGCCATAAAGCATGAATAAAACAGGGAAAATATTTTGAGTGAATGCATCACATTTACAGCAAAAACAATTTGCCATAAAAGGTTCATAAATATACCACAGCTACCTGGCTACAAAGAAATGACAAGAAGTTCCTTAACCCCTTTTCACTAGGTTAAGAAAAAAGAAAAGAAAAAAAATGAACTCAACGCTTTGGAGATTAATGGCAATGAGCCAACTTTGAGCGCGGGAGTTTGCTACATCAAGCTGAACGCCCCATTCGTAGCACTTTGGCGCGTCATCACGGTGTATGGCCACACTCCACAGATCGAACAGTTTGTTATGACACCACAAGGCGTGGCCTGGTAGAATTGGGTTAAATTAAAAGATTGCCTAAGTCAATCACACAATGAATATATATGCTTTGTACAAAAGAGAAAATACAGGTATAGAAGACTGATTACTTCCTCTTTTGGGACAAACAAAGTCCACTGCCTCTTCCTTGATTTGAGGCATTTTATTCAAATTCACAAATTTTAGCCAGACGGGAAATGGAGAAACTCATTTCTCGAGCATCCCCGTCATTTCCAGGATGGTTGATATCCCTGAGTCACGTCAAATCAGCGATCCATTTGAGTTCTATCTTGCCGGACTTCATGCTTATCTGCATTTGCCAAAGTATCGCCAAATATTGCCAAACTATCTGGGCTTTCCATCACAAATCACGGTAGGTTTTTAGAGTATCTGGATAAAAGCCAATACAAGCATGAGAATAAATCCAATTTCGAGTCACTGGCTTGTTAAGGAAAACTCGCCCCCCAAAAAGGTTGAAATACTATATCTTCGATCTTTTCCTCCTTTCCCTTATTCCAATTATTCTTATTCACATCAAGAATCCCCTGACTAATTACGGACTGAATAAAAGCTAATCTAAACGTAACCAGAGTAAATATTGTGTGTAAATAGGTTTTCTCTTTTGGCCTCCTGCACATTGCAACTGTTTCTTCTTTGGAAATAATGCTTTTTGAGGGCGAAACCAAAACCTCCACCGGCAAAAAGCGAAACGAAAAAAATACAAAAAGAGAAAATATCAGAGGAGAAAAGAGGCGAATAAATGAAAATAAGAAATAATCTTCCACAAACCGAGCGAATTCCAACCCATTCACGGACTCTCGTTCCTTCTACCTAAAATCAACCCCAAATTATGGACTTTATCCTTATTTCCGGACCTCTGGAGCAAACCTACCTCTTCGTTCTGTGTGTTATCATCCATGTTTTAGTCGCGGGAGGCGTGAATAAGGTGAAAATTGGATAAATAAGGCGACAGGGAGAAGTTTCCAGCCCGACGTCGAGCAGCTGACACAACAACACCACTTGTCCGGATCCCTTGCTTAGAATCATTATTTTATTCTCTTTTGTTATCATCGTATATCGCAAAATATTTTCATTGGTAGAATTCAATGCAGTTAAATCTTCCTATTTATTCTGAGGGGATATATCCAGTTCAAGAAGATATTTGAATATGTTAAGTATTGAAGCATAAAATTTATCAATACCATTCGGATCCATTGCATGATTCATATATTCTCTCTCGAAAATTCCTTTTTCTATAAAAATCTTCCTCCTTTCATGCTAAAAATCATTGAATAAATCGACAAGAACACAAAATAGTCATGAGAAAATCAATATGTGCGAAGATAGAAGTTAAAATAAAAAATCCAATTAATCGAATCTGGCAACACGCAAGACCAGCACGGAGATCAACTTTACGCGATTTTTGACCTTATGCTCCCCTGCGAGATGGTAAAAAAATGAATGCTTATTCTCTAAACCACACTAAATAGGTGGTGTTATATTTCAGATTTAGTGGAATTTTGTTACTAACATCACAGTAATTTTCTGCCTCTTTTATATCTATGTATTCTTTCTTTAATGAGAGGGTTCGGGTTATATATTTTCTTAATAAACTTAATAGACTTCATAGATAGGATTTTACTGCTTAAAAGTCTCTTCCATTACTTTAAGGGACCGTCGCATTGAAATATATTATAATTACTGAGAAATCCTTTTTATTGGTAAAATACGATAATGGTGTTGGCAGAACTCTCTGAAAGCTTCATGATGAAATGTGTTTTTTAATATTAGCCAAATCGATAAAATATCTCGCCACACCTCTACACAGGTAATGCCTTTATATCGGCCATTGAACGAGAATCTATGTGATTTTTTTTTGGTGGTTTAATTGAATAATCATTTTCTGGGTGCATTTGGCATGTCTAGTACGGCCCGCTGAAGTTCAGTTGTACCTGAAGGCGGGGATTGTCACACGTTCTCTGTGGCCCGTGGACCTCCCTGGAAAGTAAGGGTATAGTGACACTATCCGCCTCATACTCCTTCTACAGTCTCGGGACTTCATTGAATAATTTCACAGGATGCCACGTCAAAATAAGCATAACATTGGAAGGAGGAAGAACATGATAAAAGCAAGAATGAAGCGAAGAGAGATAGAGGAGAGAGAAGCGAGCCGCCCGCCGCCGGCCAGCCCACGGGTTCCCCTCGCGACCAGCCTGCAGCTACCACACCTCTCCCCTCTGGCAGGCTAGATACGCCAAGTAATGCAACGAAGAGGAAGCTTTTCATCTAAGGTGACTAAGAATTAGACAAATCTGTAGCAGCAGACAAGGAATATCTCGAGAAGAATTACCTGGAACGAGTGATGTCCAGGCTTACCTGTGGAAACTGTTTCGGGAGTGTCAGTGTGTCATTTAAACAAAAGGGTCTGGATTGTGGAGTTGATGTGGAGTGTGACGAGTGCGGCATTATAGAAATTTCTGAGGTAATTGGAAACCCTGTGACACATATGATGGTGTACAGTGTCTATGAAATGTGTAATTGGGTATAATGGCCTGCAATTTTTTTTGGGGGGGAAACCTGAGTATGAAGCCGCTTCAGAAACAGTATTTTAAGTATTCCATAACTGTGATTGAAGCCACCGAAGAGAAAATAGCAAGTGTTAGCTCTGTGAAGAATTATTACTCAGAAAAGCTGAAAGTGAAACCTGATGGAGATGATGTCTATGATGTAAGTGTGATGTTTGACGGTTCCTGGCAGAAGCAAGGTCGCACGAGTCTTCTTACAGTTGGTGCTGTGATCGGGGCTGAAACTGGACTGGTAATTGACTATGAAACCATCAGTAAATTTTGTGAACTATGCACCAAGAAATAATAAAAAAAATGCATCTGAAGAAGAGTTCAATGAGTGGTATGAAGGCCACAGAAATAAGTGTAAGAAAAACTACATTGGCATTTCCGGGTGAATGGAGGCAGCAGCAGCAGTGGAGTTGTTTGGCAGAAGCTAGCAAAGAAACTTAGGTAAAAAGTGTTAATATCTGATGGTAACAGTTCAGCATACAACACAGTGTGTAAGATGAACGGTGGCGAAGGATCCTACGGTGACATAAAAGTAGAAAAAAGGTGAATGCATCAATCATATAGCGAAGAGACAGCACTCAGGAAACTTAGGGACGAAGAAGTGAGTGAGAAAACAACAAAGAAAGGAAAGCAACTAAGAAAGAAGAGAATGGGAGGAAGGGGAATATTAAAAGACTTTATGATAAAGAAGTTGACACAATACTACATAAATTCCATCCGGCGTAATATCGGTGGTAATGTAGAGCAGATGAGGAAGGACATAAGAGCCTCATTTCTGCAATGCTCATCAACCGATGGAAATCCTCAGCATGGTTTATGCCCCAAGACAGCCGACAACTGGTGCTTCTACTAAACAGCCAAGGCAAACAACCAAGTCCCCGATAGCAATAAGAAAATGAAGGTCCACTTAGTTTTACCATCAGAGCTGAGACAAAATGTTTGGGGATGAATACAGGCGACTGACATCCCACAAATTATTATCCGCCTGCATTACGGGAAAGACGCAAAATCCCAGTGAACATCTGCATTCCAGAATATGGCGTTTTTGTTCCAAGTTTAAAACCACAAACGAATCTTGGATTACGCTCTGGCTACTTAGGCAAGATGCTTAGATCCACACTAAGCAACATCATTAACTCTCGCCTTTAAGAACGTAACAAATAACGCGAGGCAATGCAGCAGAAGAAGAAAGGGAAGGAGGAGGAAGTAACTGAGGAAGACTACCAGGCTGGCGTCTTTTAAATGGCGCTCCTGGCTCTTTAAACTTTAAAGTCCTCCCCTGTAAAACTTTTTTTTTTACATTCAGAAAGCTACAACTTTCTCAATTCTTAATCAATTTGAACGATTTTTATTTTACAAAGAAGAAATTTGTCTTTATTTTATATATTATTTGAAATAAATGTATTTTCAATCATTTTTCACTGTTCCTTTTCCCCCTAAATTACCGGGATATCAGAATACTTGTAAGAAAAAATGTATACGCTGAAATGTAGGGTGGTATGTGAAAACGAGATAATAGCATATGTTGGACAATAGTTACTCCAAAAGACAAATAACAAGCCGTTCTAAGAAAATAACTCGATGGAGTAGGAGACTAAAGTAGCTTCAAATTATCATATATATTTTTTTTTTTGTTATTCTGGAAGGGATTTAAGTAATTTATTTAGGCAGCACATGGATGAAACTTTATTATAAAAGTGATTTTTACATTGGTTAACCGCATGCCGACGGGAAAATTGAATAAAAATGGGGAAAATGCTGTTTTGCAAAGGAGTAATTTAATAGCCCTTGTGACCTTACCTAATTTCACTTTACCATCAATTGGTGAGAAAAACGTATTTTTTACTAATGCTATGAATATCGACGGTGTTATTTTTATTATGGAAATTATAGTTAATATAATGTTATAAATATTAATCACAGCAAAATAAGATAACGCAAAATATTTTCGTAAATCAAGGAAAAAGGTAAACGAGCGGGACAGGCAGTGCTCGTAATTGGCGCTTTGGTCTGAAAGATGGACGTGAAAATTCATTAATATATATATATTTTTATACGTTGTGGGATATTCAAATTGTTGATATAACTGAGCAATGAAAAATGAAAAAATCCCACAGAGAATTTCCGAGTTTACAGACAGAAAATGCAAGGTTGGAAAAAAAACATTCCCAACATATGTAATATATCAATCGAGTAAAAGAAAAAGCATTTAATAACATCAGGATTAGGTTTCAAAATCAAAGTAAAAACCTCCTGATTCTTTAAACTAAAGTACCATCAAAACCTCGTGGACATTTATCATGAACCTTGCTAGCAACAATCTAAAAAAAAGTACCCTGGGGAAAAAATCTCGCGAATATAAATTGATATTAATTGTATCTCATTTTTGTGTGACATCTTCATTTCGGTTGTCTATAATATTCATAGTCTATCTGAAGCTATTTATAGAATATATATACCGTCATGATATAACGCTAGCGTATATGTATATGTATGTATATATATATATATATATATATATATATATATATATATATATATATATATATATATGTATATGTATATTTATATATATATATATATATATATATATATATATATATATATATATATATATATATATATATATATATATATATATATATTGTTTTCCTCTGTAGTAAACGTTTCCTTATCGACATCAGCGTATAATATGAAACTTGTAGAGGGTGAATGCTAATTATCATTACACAGATACCCACTCTTTCATGTAAAACAGCAGATTTACTTTTAATCGCACTGACTCGTACGTCTGGCAGTGCGTCTTGCATCGTCTGTACAAGTAACGTGGATCCGGAATTAAAGAACTATAAAGTATAAATAAAACTATAAAGAACTAAATCCGGAATTAAAGAACTAAAGGCGTGCAGAAGACGCCTTTTAGTACAAGTATAGCCATCTATGTTTTAAAAGCAATTAAACAAGTAAGCTCACAGTGGGTATGGCATGTATGTATATGCCATGCCCGGTGTTTCTGGGTAAACTTAAAGCAGTAGATCCATTTTTATTTTCCACATGAGACGGTCCTTTTAGTGTGGTTTGTGAATGAAATGTGTTCAGTTAGATAATAATTAATGTACTAATTTGTTTCCAGTTAGTGTAAAAGGATTTATAGCGATTATGGCTTTGGTTTGATGTGTTAGAAGTAGAGGTGAAGATATTGCTTGTTGTGTAAGGCTGTATAAATACTGTGTCATTTGAATGATTGTGAATTAATATTTTAATACCGTTAGTTAATCGTTCATTGTAGGAACGCATGTAGCTTTTACGTTTTTATTTGTCAAGGGCCAATAAATTTCCTCAGAAGTATTGTAAAAGTCATAGAGGTTGGTATAGGGATGGTATAAGGCAGAGGGTGTGTAAACAGTGAAATTTTTATGATGTAACATTTTTGTCATGGACAGGAA